AGGACCTCTAGACTCCATGAGCATTTTAAATTCTGTTCTGTCATTTCCCCCTTTTGATCAGGATTCTTCTATGGAATCTTTGATCAAAATGTTCAGTCATGGCTGTCAGGCACCCCGTTCAGTTCTTTGGGTCCCAAGTGAAAGGAGGCCGTTGATGGTGAAAACAATCAGCATCATTTCCATCGCCTTCTCCGAGTCCCACCCTCCCATCTCTGTGGTTGGAGGAGGAGGGGGCCAGCCCCCCCCCCAACCAATCACAGGTTCAATAGGCACAATTGTATGGTTGAGATATATAAAGATTACATTAAAGTCCTAGAGAGTGTGAGAGATAGAAGAGAAATTGAAATAATGGAGTCAGACACATTTCTTGGTAGCATGCTCACCTCAGCCCTGCTTGGTGGTCCATGTGGAGAGAGGGGGAGGGGGAGGAGGACAAGGGGAACGGGAACAGGGAAGTGAGGACGGGAGAGGGGGAACCAACGAGAGGCCAAGGGAGGAGCCCAAGAGAGAGCCTTTATTGCTAACCCAGGCCTATGTATCTTTGGGGGGAGTGCAAGCCCATTAATTACAGGTCACAGGAAGGGGTTACACTATAGGTTTCTTAACAGCAGGGAGTGGGGCCTATCAGTGGACTGGCAACTGACTGCCTTCAGGGAGGTAGCTTGACGACTTGGGAGAAATCTTTCTGTTTCTCATACATCCCCTTATGCGTACATAGAGAACAGTCGTGCCTGGGATACCTGGAAGATCCCAGGCCCGGTGCAGCCAGCAAGCAGGTAGAAAAGAAGCACCCCATGTGTTCTGATGCCGATTCCATGGCACGTTCCATGAAACCGTGACCCGAAGCAGGCCTGTGCTGTTTCAAACCACACAGCATCACTAGCTGTTGCTTAGGGCGACCACCCAGCTGCCTCGTCCCTTGATTGCAGATTCATTTCCGGCTACGGCGGCGGCAATGGACCTGCCCAGTCGTTCTTTCCAGAGTCCTCTCACACCCTGCACCTCACATCCCTTGAGAAGAGCCGACTTGTTAGTATCAGTCCCCTTCCCAGCCGAGAAAACCGAGCTTCCCGAGAGATCTGGTGTGGGGCAGGGCGGGCTCTACCAGCTGTGCTCTTGCCCCCAACGACAGTTAGGGACCAGGCTCAGAATCGGCCCTGGCATGTAACGGCACCCACATTTGGGGGGAAATGATCTGTTGGCCTCTGGTCTCCTGAGAGAAGGAACTGTCTTGAGCAAGGTGGCTGGGGTTTCACAATCGCCGGGAGGCCAGGAATGGGCGGCCGTGGCGCGTTGCACAAGGGCTGGAGCACCAGGGCCTGTGTTTGGTTTCAACTCTCGTCCTCCTTTCTTCCTCTAAGGCTGATGGGCAGCCCCCACCCACCCACCCAAGCCCCAATGTGCGGGGCTCAGGTGGATTCCCGGGAGGGGCTCTGTGACAGCCTGGTGACACCCCAATTCTGGCC